ATCTTTTAAACTCACAATTTTCAATGCTTCATTTTTAATATATAATTAATTATAAAATTTCATAATTAGATAATATATGAGAATACATAACTCTAATATAATGCAACTAATATACCGAATAAAAAATTTGAGATACATTTATCGTTGTACGCTGTGTGTATTTCCATAAAATAGTTTATTGATGTTGAAAAAATACTACGTTCTTACAGTAGGTGGCGCCTTACATATTTCTTACGTGATATTATATTGTAGCGAGTCGGCGCGGCACACCAAATGCTCAAGGTCGTTCGCATGGAGTAGCCCCTTAAGAGGGCCCTTCCCGGCCCGTCTATCGTCAACGCGAGCATGGTTAAAAAGCTTGTTGTTTCATCCAGCGCAATGTTAGAAAAAGAGGCAAAGCGAAAAGAGAAAGACAGCGCCTGAGCGTTCGGTTGGCATTCGGTAACTTACGGGCTCGCTACTATGGCGCATAGCTATAGTTTTGTAAATTTCTCTGCATGCCTACATTTAGTAGGTACCATATTATTTTATTATATTACTCTTTGTCTAGTATAGACGTGCCACTTGGCCTCGGAGATATGTGTGTGTTGTTTTTTACCAAACTAGGTATCGTACGTGCGCTATTTTTGACATGGAAATTATTTATGTTATAATTATAAATATAATATATTAAAGAAATTATTTATGTCATAAATAATTTTATAATGTTATAAATAATTTTCCATGTAAAAAATAATATGTCGCAAATAAAAATAACTGTCACTCAGAGTCGGCCAACTCGTGTGTGTAAGTACACTCGGCGACACATCAAGCTATACATTTCCAGTATAACATGGCCTCGCTTTGTTTCAATTTCCCGTACAATAAGAGTACCGCATAAACTGGTTTATATACCTTGATTTGTCGTCGTGCGTACAAGCCCGGCACGCAAACATTCACAACATATTAGTCGGCCGTTACACGCGCAAACATCAATACTCAGACATAAACTGGACTCAGTTTTGTTTTAGCAGGGTGTTCCATCCAACTTATATTGTTCGTCCATGTTATACCTAAACAGAGCACGAAAATGTAAAGGTAAATAATTTATTCTGCTTATGGAGTAGCGGTATCAACAGAATAAACTCTTTACCTGTCTAAGCCGTTTGTATTTAGGAAGCTGAAATTAGGTAACGTACCTACTTGTACCGTATGTAAATGTCTCCAAATGTTGTTAAGGTACTAATTTGTACCGTAGTACAGGTGGTTGATCACAAATAAAGTAGTCTAAATAGAGTTGGGTATAAATATATATTTTTATTCTAAAGAACTTTGTTACACTTTATGAACAATACATAAAACAACCCGGTTGTCGAGACGATTCCGATTTCCGAACACAAAGAGTTTACTGTCAGAAGTGATTGAAAATTTAGTAAAAACATATTATTATCTAATAACAATAGTAATATTCTCATTCTCAATAGTAATAAAATCGATCTGCTTCAAAATCCTTATCCAAACAAAGTCTGTGTCCGTATTCACAAATGCCAGGTTCCTTTCACATAATAAAATAGCTAAACCTTCGCTAGCAAAATCAGTGTCCGGTATAAAAAAAAAAGATCGTTGTAGTAGGTAAAACAGATGTCACTAAATATAAAATGCAACGGCACATTGACGAAGCGCAGTCAACAAATTGAATACCTACTAACAATTCCGAGAGGCCAGAGAGCCGAACGCGTGCGCCACCGGCGCTCGTCATTCAACTCCCCCGTCTCACCCCGCCCCTACCCCGCACGACTTGTCCCCCGCATACCTCTTACCGCCACTTGGCTAATAAGCAAGTGAGAACGCGATATTATTGAACGAAAAATAGTGTGCGGGAATTTCATAAAACTTGTTCCAGGAAATACGTGTTTTTCAGTAACCCACAAGTTTGTGAAATAAATTTTTGTCATTTAGTCAGTCTCCATTACATTGGCGAGGTTTCTATAAAATAATTTCTTTACTTTTACTATTAGTGAGTACATTATGAACGACCAAAGTTCAGGTAAAATTTATGCAAAAAAGCAGATTTTTGGAGGCTTATACTGAATTTGTTTCTACAAATTTAGATTTTTTGTATAGATAGGAACCTAGATATAGTGCACAAAATACCTATTAATTATATTATATATTAAAATTTTCAAAGAAAGATCTATTACAACGCCATAATCACATACAAGCTTTTGTATGAAAAGTTAGACGGGTTGGCCGCTCTTAAGGCTGCTGTGTTTCGTATAGTGAGTGTAGAGAACCGGAGACCCTCTTTTAGTGGTGACAACGTATCGCACCTAATGGTAAGAGTATGCTGTGATCTATTGATACCCACATCCATCCTCGATTTAGAATCGAAATTTAGATGCGGTTTCGGATAATTCAATTAAGTGCTTGTTAAATTAGATTATTATTATTTCCTTTTTCAAATAGAACAATTGCATACTGTGTAGCGAATTTTTTATTTTTTATTTTCTTGCTACAAGTGTCGTCAACCCTATGATAATGAGTATAAATAAATTTGCGCGTTATTTCTTTTTACATAGGTCATGTTAAAGATATGCTGCTTTTTGTTTACGGTTGACACCTTCTATATACTATGAAAAATACTGTTGGCCAGCAATTTTTCTCTTAAGGCTTGGTCTTTCTAGCGTATTATGCATATAGCGGAATTTAAAACCGTGAATGGAAAAATGTTTAACTAAATTCGACATAATACGTATATTATCACTGTGATACGGTTTGTAAGCAGCAAAAGTCCAGTATGTACTGCAACTTGTTTCAGCCAACTTGTCTTACTTCAAGTTTTCACACAATACCTTACTTGATACTAGTGTATTGTTATTTTACGTTCTATATCTCTATACCCTTCAGGACTTTTTAACCAGTTTCTGTAATGGCCTATATATAATAAATATTATCTTTTTCCGGGCTATATTGCAGAAGTAAGATTGACTTGACTTTTTGTACAAATTGAAATAATCTTTCATTTTACGAAAGAAAATTATTACAAACTTTTTTTAAGTAATTATTATAATAGTACTATTGTAAGTTACTTTTATTGAACTTGGAGTTCAAAAACTACACTGGCTTTAAAATTACGATGACATTGAAAACAAGGTTCCCAGGGGTATGAAAGTCCTCAGTAGCTTGCTTTTACGTTGATACTAGCGCTATCTGATAATTATCCAAAGTACTATTTTCCCCAATATATTACACATTTTATTATAAGATGGCGCCACTGCTGTTGTTCATTATTTATACCGAAGCCTAAATCATGCTATCGAAGTTTTGAAATACAGCGGTATATATAATTTTTCTTTCTACTAATTCTATGAGAATAATCGAAGAAATTTAAACCATGCTCATCTAAAACAAACTAAATTAAGAGTTATTTAAAACAAATTAATTAGTAATTAAATACATTTCCTTTTAATTTTTTACTAAATACTGAACCTAGTTAGATAGCACCCTCTAGTGTAATTTTCAGTAATTTATAATCCCAACGCCATCTATAAGAGCGCTAAAGAGACTTCCCTCTTTTCGTCACCTAATAATTTGTCAGAGTGGCTCATCTATACCCTATATAGTATATTATCTATGGTGGTTCCAGTTGTTTAACTTATATTGATTCTACTGTTAGTTTATCTGTTATATTTAAATTAACTTAAGCAAGGGTAGAAGCACTGGCTTATAAATTTAAAAAGTAACTTCTTCAGCGAAAGGTTAATTGAAGGCTAGTTGTTAGGTTGCGGGCATGAAATTAGTGACGGTCGAGCGATGGCGGTAGCGGGGCGATCCGACAGCGGTATCTCGCGTGGGGGCACGAAACAGCGCTCGGTCAGGCGCGCTAGAGTACTGTTGTGTTTAAAATGAGTTTAAGTCGAAGGAGAACTATTGAAGCCTAGTCTCCTAATGAGAGTGAAATTGTTGTTAGCTGGAGATGGTGTTCATTCGATAAATCATGGGAGAATTAATTTGGGCGAATTATCTACCCTTTATTATGAATTAAGGTCTCATTCAAAGAAATTTTATAACTATACGATAATGAGAATGAGTAACTATAGACAGATTTGATTATAATTTAGAGAAAATTAGATGCAGTTTGGAATCTGTTATCGTTGGAAATCGTTAACAACTTCCATTCCATTATTAAAATTATAAATAAAAATACCACTCGGACGCACGACTGGTGTTTACTCCTTACGAACGATTATATGTGAAATTTAATATCAAAACTCCGCAAGTTGACAGTTGGTTGACAGTTGTTATTTGTTTATATAAAATAGTGCAGCAGAGAGTACTCTGTGCTGGGGGCAGCGCAACACGCAACACACGACATTACGTAGTCATGGAAACATGAATGCATAACGTAACGCATGACGTAACGTTTGATTTTACTCCCCATGAGTTTTCATACCTCGGGCTTATATATGAAAATCGATTCTTAAGGAGTAGACTCCAATAAACTCCAAAAATACAACCCTGTATACTCGAGCACGTGAGTGAAATCAAAATAGTTTGTTCGCCTGTTTCGTACGCGTCGCTACTTTAACTATGATTTTGTTTACGCCGCAGTCGCATCGCGCCGCCCCGCAACCGTCAAGCGCTCGACCTTCGCTAATTTCGTGTTCGCAGCCTTAATTGAAGTGTGCTGCATTCTATGTACTTGAAACAACGTAGAATGAAAAAAAAATGCTTATGATATTATATTATGACCTAATATAAAAATTTATTACAGTTTTTTTTAGTAATAGATGAGGAAAGATCTCAAATCTTAAAAATGGCTTTTACGGCTCATTTTCTGCATGCGTATCACTTCTGACGAAATTTTTATATGAGAGGAATGCATGTATTTTATGTGACTTTCATCAACCTTTTGCTTCTTACATTGAACTCTGCCTTTTTGTATTCGGGTTGATGACAGTGGCAAAATGTACTTGTGAAATTTTTAAATATTTTAATTAAAGTTTTTTATTTTGTTTCAGAGCTGTGCGGAACACCAGGCTACCTCGCGCCAGAAACATTGAAAGCGAATATGTTCGAGGATGCGCCCGGCTATGGAATGGAAGTTGACATGTGAGTTTAAAGCCATTAAAATTATTGATTTATTCTTGGATAGAAATGGATATTTCTTTGGATACAATTAATTTGTACATATAGCAGTCCTTCCGGAAACTTATTTCCATTTATCATCATCGCGGTCTTGGTGATTTTAGTGTTGGCGTACTGACCTATTCTGTCTGTACTTACCTATCTGCCATTATTTGTCAATTTCCCTAGCCGACTTATCGATTCCCCTTAAATGAATAGGGTTGTGCATCCTCTCATGTTGTAACCACATGATAATCAATAAAAAAATACTTAAATAAGTTTTACAAGTCGTATCTACAAGCCATACAAAAATACAATGCATATGCAAAAGTTATAATGTCTTCTAGTCCGATTTTCGGTCACGGCGGACAGTCTCAACGGAGATTAGCCATCTGCGCAGGACAGGTTTATAGTTCACGACCGTGTACGCAATCATAGGTGTACTCTCTATTCCCTCACTCTGATATTTCGGAGAGATGTCAGGCGTAACACCAACGGCTTTACGTGCTTCTTGAAGCTCGGCAACACCGCCAACTTGCTCACTGCTACTGGGAATTTATTGACATTTGAATTCGGGACTCTATGACCAGCAGTAGCATTCACGACCACCTGACCAACAGGGTAGAAAACAATGCGACAATAACAGCCAAATACAATTCTTAAGTACAAATTTTTGCTTTTGTCTTGATATTAATTTTGAAAATGCTATTTAGTAATATTTTACTCTTAGATAATTGTACATATCTCGCAACATGCCGTATCGTCTCAATTGTACCAATCAAGAACGATTTGTACAAATATTAAATCTTGATACATTATAAGAGTTTTATCTCTTCGAAGTACATGCGTCAAGTATAATATGCATTTAACTTTTTTATTTAAAAAAAAAACGTTACATCCACGCTAGGATTTTCTCCTGTGTCATGGAGGCAGTTTACATACATAAATTTCACAAGGACAAACATCCAGACCCGGAACAATTATTTGTAGGCCATACAAATACTTGTTCCGTGCGGGCTTCGACACCCGCGGCCATTAGCGTTGTAACTTATTGCTAAGCCACTGCGCCACGGAGCGCCAAACTTAATATGTTAGTACCTATAACCTGATGAGACCTGTGCCCAGCGGTGGGACGCATGGACTGAACTTTATTATTTTAGTATTCATTCTAATCTATATATCTAAACGTCCATATACATCTAAAGGGTTTTTCAATAGGGACGCTCGAACTTTAACAGCGTATAGCGGCCATCTTAGTAAAGCGATAGCAGTAGACTAAATGAGTATTCTTTTCAAATTTGAAAATAATACTTATTTAGTCTTGACTTCACCATGGATCAACACTACACGCTTCCACAACGCTTTGAAATTGTTAAAATTAAAAAAATATATATTATCAAAATTAGTGCTCTCCTAACGATCTGTGTTGCGTCCAATTTATGGCATTTATGGACGTCCTGCAGTGTCCAGAATCCGTAGTTTAATAAACCGGGTCGGTGATCGATGAGGCAAGCAAACCCCAGACAGTCTATTGTCCATTCCGCATCGTGCGCAAGAACTGGGTTTTTCTGCGACATCAGCGACTTGGCGAATTTTGATTAATTTAATCATTTTTACACGCACATAGTTTTCGAAATAATTACAAAAAAAAATCAGTTTAATGTGGTTTTTCGATAAATGAACGTCTTGCCCAAAAACCTCTATAAATGTGCCAGTTTTTTTTTCTACCGACTTCAAAAAGGAGGTACTCAATTCGACTGTATGTGTTTTTATGTGTGTTACCTCATAACTTTTCTGGGTGATTTCGGTGATTCTTTTTTTATTTGAAAGCTGGTGCTTCTTATGTGGTTCCATAAAAATTTGATCAAGGTTTGACTAATCGTTTTTGAGTTATTCTTAATCATCTATATTGAAGTCGGTTGTACAGAATTTTTAATTTTAAATTATTAAGTTCTACGAAGCCTAGGATAAAAAAACTAGTAGTTCATAAATCACATTGATAATGTCTAGTGTATATATCAAAATAAACCTTACCTTACTCCAAAATAATCCAAAATCAAATTTTATACTTACCTACCTAAAAGACAACCCAATGTTTATAACTGTATAATCTAAATATACTCATGATACACATCATAATATTGGAATTAAAAATATTTTTGCGTTTGTTTCAGTTGGGCGTGTGGAGTCATCATGTTCACTTTGTAAGTTTTGTTAAACGTCATTATATATTATAATAATTTCGAGTCGTTTCACCTTTGTACTCTGCATAAGTACATCCATCTAAACTGATAAAGGCAATTATTACTTAACTATGACAAGTGTGGCTATTGACGTAAATGGCTTTGATGGTCAAGAATATTTTAGATAAGAGCCACATTAACATTGCAACAGTTCCATGTTTAACGAACTAACGCAAAATAAATATCACATTTGAGACGAAAACAATTAATTTATTCGACTGTATGAATACAATGAATGTAATTTTATTTACAACTAGCTGTTCCCCGCGACTTCGTACGAGTGTAATTTATTACGTTTAGATTTCATGGGTTTTAATTTTTTTTTACACGAAACCCTATTTATTTTTCTAAAATAAAAGTAGCCTAAGTTACTTCTTATAACATCAGCTATCTGCCAGTGGACGTCCAGTCAAAATCGGTCTAGCCATTTCGGAGATTAGCCGGAACAAACATACAGACAGATAGATAAAAACTAAAAATATGTTTGTTTTTTTGTAATAAGTACCGTATATACTTTCATATGCAATTTAGTAAAAAGCTGTTATTTTGACATCATAAACAGGCACTTCAATTTTATTTATATATATAGATTATTTACAATTATCAGCCATAAAGTTGACCATCCGCAAACTTGTACTATTTATTGTAAACAATATGTGACTGACAAAACACTGGTTATAACAAAAAATTTCTTATTCTAAAATGAAACACCCATTTGTTAAATTATGATGCCTTAGTATAATAGCTTTCTTTCCGTAGGATATCATTAAAATTGAGGATTTTCAGATTGGTAGGTTGTCCACCATTTTGGCACCGAAAGCAGATGGTGATGTTAAGAAACATTATGGAGGGGAAATACTCCTTCACTAGCCCCGAGTGGACGGATATCTCAGGTTTGTTATTATTATTGTTTATTCATTTATCCAGATTTTAAACAAAAATAAGGGTGATTCCGTTATTCCACCCTACAGGTGGATATTCGGAATCGTGTGTTCACATCTATCCACCCCAGACAGGGTGGATACTCGAAATTCACTTTTATTTTCTTCCAACTTTTTACCCCAAGTACAGTTCAACTTTAATTATTAATTATTTTACTTACAACTTAAATAAACATCATATTATGTATTGCTGTTGCATTTAAATCAAATAAAATTTTCTTGTTTTAAATAATATTATTACGTAATTTATAAATTCTGAAATATGTCCAGGAAAGCAGACAATTTATTTTTGTGTGGAGAATGGGCCCACCACAAATTGTGGCGTAACTTAAGGGGACACCGCGAGAAAATGCACCTCCAATCATCGAATAGTATAGGACTATGATACGACTAACGTAACTGGAATTTTGATATAGGTAAATTCATGTCTTCATCTTGAATTTGCTTGTTCAAAAACACGATTGTATATTTTTTTGATGCCGTGTGGTGTGCGGCGGAGTAGAATACCACCACCCCATATCTACCTGTGGGTGTCGTAGAAGGCGACTAAGGGAGTGTGGAAAAGGACTGAACCCCTGTACCTTTTTCACTGATATACCTACTGTTCCATCTGTCCGAGTCCCTCTCCGGTCGTAACGGTCTCCGTTCCACTGGGTCCAGAGGGGCAAAGACGAGTATGTGCACCTGTGTCCGCGCGTACACTTGTGCACGTTAATATGTCCTGCGCAATTGACCTGCTTCCAAATAGGACTCCGATCTATAACCAATGTCCTACGGCGATGGGAGGAGGTAGAGAGGCTTGACGTGATGCCCGTTGAGTTTTGTCTGACTCCTGCACGTAGGCGGTCTTGGGGGTGTAGTGTACATCGTGGTCGCTTCTGCTCTGCAACGGGGTGACAGAGCGGACTCGGCAGCACCCAAGATGACAAAGCAGCCCTATTCAGGGAGGCACTGCTTTCCTCGCTCAGACGGGGAGGGGGCTAGAAAAGGTGCCCTAAACAAATGCTCACTCCAACCCCTTTAGGATGGTAGCAACCGCGGCTGCCTCCGCATCATAAATTCGCGGTCGGCGCTACAGGAAAAATAATGGAAAATTTAATTTATCAAAATCAATGACATTTGGCGCGTGGAATGTGCGCACACTTCTTGACCGCGAAGCAAATGCCTGCCCTGAGCGAAAAACTGCCTTTGTAGCTCGGGAACTAAGTCGCTATAATATTGATGTGGCTGCACTCAGCGAAACACACCTCCCCGAGGAAGGAGAGCTGGTAGAATATGGCGGCGGGTATACTTTCTTTTGGAAAGGACTCGCTTCCTCGGAGCCGCGAAGGTCTGGTGTAGGCTTTGCTGTCAAGAACTACCTTGCTGCTCAACTGCAAGAGTACCCTGTACACATTTCGGACCGCATTACCACATTGCGCCTTCACATGGAACGTGAAAGCTATCTTAATATCATCAGTGTCTATGCCCCTACGCTGGACAAGTCTGATGATATTAAGGATAAATTCTACGAAGAATTGACGCGGTGCGTAAATCGTATTCGTCCAAGAGAGCAAATCCTTCTCATGGGCGACTTTAACGCCCGAGTAGGACGAGACTATGACGCCTGGCCTAAAGTTCTCGGCAGACATGGTGTTGGTAAAATGAACAGCAGCGGCCAATTGTTGCTTAGTCTTTGTGCACAATTGGATCTTGCAATTACAAATACTATGTTCAGACTGCCTGCCAAGTACAAGGCAACGTGGATGCACCCCAGATCGAAACATTGGCACCTTATCGATTACGCCATCGTGCGTCAAAAAGACATATCTCAAGTCCAAGTCACCCGTGTCATGCGTGGTGCTCATTGTTGGACTGATCACCGGCTTGTTATTATTAAATTAAATCTTCGTCTTCCACCTCCTTGTAGAGTGGGAAGATCTAAACAGATACGTCTGAACCTCGAACGACTCCAAGATACTAACACGAAGGCTAAATATGCCGAAACCTTGAACACTGCTCTGCAGCCCCTCGATCTAAAATTAGGTGAGATCGATGTTGTCTGGGAGTCTCTATCTTCTTGTGTTCTCGACACTGCTAAATCTACTTTGGGTTTGAGAGTTCGAAAACATGAGGACTGGTTTGATGAGAATGATGGGATACTTACAGGCGCTATTGATAAACACCGTAGGCTCCTAAAGCAGCACAGTAGAACTCATCAGAGTGGAGGTGCTATGGAGTTGCGTCAAAGTGATCTGGAGCTGCGTAAACTCGCACGACAAGCGAAAGACAAGTGGTGGCAGGAGAAGGCTCGTCAGATGCAGTGGCTCGCTGATACCAACCAGCTCGGTGAGTTTTATGCTGAGGTGCGACATCTACTCGGTACGTCCTCTATGGCAAAAGTTCCACTGAAGTCAACTAGTGGTGGAGCGCTTTTTAAAAGCAGGGAGGAAATACTCGGGCGATGGGCGGAGCATTTTAACACCCTACTTAACGTGGATCATTTTGTTGACCTAGACCACGTTCGCTGCCTACCTCAACAACCTTTCGCCCTCGAGCTAGATGAGCCAATCTCGCCTGGCGAGGTTGCTCTTGCCATTAAGCAACAGCAAAATAAACGCGCGGTTGGTGTTGATTTTATACCGGGTGAATTATTGAAGTATGGCGGTGGGGATTTGTATTCAGCGTTATGGGAACTTTTTGTCATTATGTGGGAAAAAGAACAAGTTCCTAATACTTTTAAGGTATCCCTCATACGAGCCCTATATAAAGGCAAGGGTGACCGGTCAAACTGCAATTCTTACCGTGGCATTTCTCTACTTTCAGTGCCTGGAAAAGTCTTCGCCAGACTTCTTTTAAACCGCCTCAGGAAACTTTCTGAAAGGGTTTTGCCGGAATCCCAGTTCGGCTTCCGACCTGACCGTGGTACCTGTGAGGCGATTTTCTCATTACGTCAACTACAGGAAAAAAGCAGAGAACAGGGTCGTAATATGTATCTCTGTTTTGTAGACCTTGAGAAGGCATTCGATAGTGTACCACGTGAAGCCCTCTGGATAGTGCTGCGGAAAATTGGATGCACGGAGAAGTTTGTGAGACTTCTGAGACTCCTGCATGATGGCATGCAGAGCTGCGTCGCTGTAAACGCTGATCAGTCAGAATTTTTTCCCGTTACCTGTGGAGTAAAACAAGGGTGTGTCCTTGCACCCACACTTTTCGCGTTATACTTTGCAGTTGTAGTCCAGGAAGTCTTAAAAACTACCCATGATGGAATTCGCATTCGTTTCCGCAACGATGGCAATCTTTTCAGCTTAGCTAGACTTAAGGCCCGTACGAAAGTGTCTTACGCACTTATTACAGAGATCGTCTACGCAGACGATTTATGTTTTGTGGCCGATTCCCCAGCTGGCCTGCAACAGCTTGTGACCACCTTTCATGAGTCGTGCCGTATTTTTGGTCTGAAGATAAGTGTTAAAAAGACGGAAGTGATGTCTTTAGATATCTACGGTCAAGAGACACTGGCCGTCAAACTCGGTGATGATATACTTAAGCAGATCAATACATTTCGTTATCTGGGGAGCACGATAACATCAAAGTGTGACCTTGATGCTGAAATCAACAGTCGAATCGGTGCCGCGGCTGCGGTATTCGGTAAACTGGATCGCAAGGTCTTTGGCTCACATGACCTAAAGCTGGCTACCAAAATTGGTATTTATAAGGCGGTAGTGCTGCCTAACATACTGTACTCTTCAGAGTCATGGACAGTTTACCGCCGTCATATACGGACGCTGGATCGCTTCCACTTGCAATGTCTGCGCAAAATTCTCAACATCCGTTGGTCTGATCGCATTCGGAATACGGAAGTGCTGCGTAGAGCCTATACCATGGGGATTGAAGCCTACCTTATGGGGCGACAACTCCGTTGGTGTGGACACTTATCGCGAATGTCAGATCAGCGTACGGCTAAGTGCATCTTTTTCTCTGAACTTGAGAAGGGCAAGCGTAAGCATGGCGGACAACTTCTCAGGTACAAAGATGTACTTAAGCGCCACATGACGAAGTGCGACATTGAGCCTTCAGAGTGGGAGCAAGCAGCCGCTCGACGACCGGAGTGGAGATCTTTGGTGAAAGCCAAGGTCAAAATGTTTGAGGAGAATCGATGCTGTGAATTGGACGCCCGACGTGATGAACTCAAAGCACGCCCACCTTGTGCGATTAACTATAATTTCTGTAATGGTGTGCTCACCTGCCCGCATTGCACGCGAAGATTTGTAAATAAGATCGGCTAGGTTAGCCATGCACGAGCACACCAACGACAAGATCGGAGCTGAAGAGGTCGCCGTGGCCGAAATCGGTCGAGGAGATTATTATTATTATGTATAATTTTGACTGGATCATAATTATTTGCGAAAACACCTCTAAAAATCACTATAGTTGAAATTACAACGAAGTTACTTAATCTATATGCTTGAAAATCACTCAAATACATTCATAACATCAATATTCGTAATTTTACTTGCTTGCTCACTATTTTGATTATTTAAAACAATAATGTTTTTTAAATATTTTAATATTCTAAGGGATTTCTAACCGCTCTTAATCGTCGCGGCCGCTACGCAATTTTAGACCTTATGACGGCGTTTTATTAAGTTTTTTATAGAAATTATGTACTAACTCGGATCAGACCGGTGATAGCCCGCTTAAACGGTTTTCGATGTCGTCTTAATGAAACACATGTCGATTTATTCCCTATAATCTATAGATTAAAATAGTAACATTAGTTTTACCGCATCTACTAGTGAAATGATCGGGAATAGAATATTTCGGATTGAGTTACAATAAAACCTTTTTTACAATTTGAATACTAGCCTCTTAGAATCTTAATGACATTCAACCTATTAAAAAATGTTTAAAAACAAAAACTATGTTGGTTTAAAGTTGACACGTCGTTAACAGAAATGGAGCTCACGCGTGAACATTTCCGTGCCATAATTTATCACAATTTTCGTCGCGGCTTATCTCAAGATAAATGTCTCGGCGAACTTGTTTCGATTTATGATGTTGAAGCACCGAGTCAAACGACAATATACCGCTGGTATGCCGAGTTCCGACGCGGTCTTGTGTCGCTCAGCACTGTTTCTTCTGCAGGTCGACCAAGAACAGCGGTCACGCCTGAAAACATCGCAGCTGTGCGAACTATTATATTAGATGACCGTCACGTGACATACGAGCAGATTCGGGCTGTTATCAGTATCGGAATGACTGCAATTCAGTCGATATTATATAATGAGCTGTGTGTAAGAAAGCTTGTTTCCTTCTGGGTTCCCCACAATTTGTCCGAAGAGCAAAAGGCGGCTCGTTTATATTGGTGCCGGAATACTCTGCAACGCTTCAACGGAGGGAAGTCAAATGCCGTTTATAATATCGTCTCAGGTGACGAATCATGGATTTATTCATACTAACCTGAAAGAAAACATCAGTCAGCAGTTTGGGTCTTCGAAGACGAGGTCAAACCAACGAAAGTGGTTCGCTCCCGCAGCGTTTCAAAGAAAATAGTCGCTATGTTTGTCTCGAAAAAGGGGCATGTTGCTACAATTCCTTTACAGAAACGCAGAACGGTTACCGCTAAGTGGTATTTCACGGTTTGTTTGCCAGAAATGATAGCCGAACTCCGAAAAATTAACCCGCGTCGTCGCATCATCTTACATCACGATAATGCGAGCTCCCATACGGCTCGGAAGACAAATGATTTTTTAAAGTAGGAAAACGTTGAGCTGATGAGCCATCCTCCGTACAGTCCTGACCTGAGCCCAAACGATTTGTTTACATTCCCTAGAATGAAAGATTTATTACGCGGTCAACGGTTTGAAGACCCCGAAGCAGCTGTGGAAGCGTACAATCAGCCATTTTGCCAACATCAACTTCAGACTGGAATTACTGTTTTAATGGTTGGTTTGCACGAATGGAAAAGTGCATTAAGTTGAACGGAGAATACTTCGAAAAAGGATAAAATACAATTTAGCTGTACCGTGCATGTGGTTTTTCTTATTCCCGATCATTTCAGTGTGCCCCTCGTAACGGGAAAACTGAGAAATTAACAATTAAAATATGAATATCACAATAACCTAAAAACAAACTAAAAGCGATTGTCTAGTAGTAGTTTTCACCGGTATTATAAGTTAAAATAGTGCACTGGTCAATAATTGATAGTATAAAACAAAGTTGTAGGTGCATTCAGCGTTTATAGGTACTTTAATATTGATGGAACATCATTTCAGTAGTTCGTTCTTAGCTACACGCATTTTTTCATATTACATTAGCCAGAACACAAATATCAAAACGACTCTTTTTTTTTCAAGATTCATGATTCCGGTTAGATTTTCATAAAATCTTTAGACCGTTTACTATAATAAATTGGCATCTTTTTTATGTGTAATAAAATTAAGTTACGTTAAAATTTCTAGCGGGCCCAAAAACGATGGTCTTCTTTAATTAAAAAAAAATTACCAACACTAATTTCATTATGGAGTAGGCGTAATTTGATATCCTGAATAAATTCGTCACTTTTAATTTACATTAGCAATCGTTTTCTAAATTACTTTATTACAACAGATGTGTTAGCGAAAATAGTTATTTTGCAAGCATTCCAAAAACGTAACTTTTGGATGTTTGTCTTTAACTTCATTTTGAATTATTCTATGCCAAGATTCCAATGACTCTGTAGTCCTGTGAGGTACTTTTATTTCAGCTTTGACCTTTCAAATTAAAAATATGTATATATTTTTATAGGTATGCTAATGTCTACTAAGTATTTTAGCCCAGTTTTTATCATGTTTCTCTAAATGACTGTACACAGTCGAGGGAGAAAATCGGAAGAAAAATAATATATACGAATTCCGATTATGCACCCCAGACGGAGTGGATAAACGGAATAACCCAAATGTAATCATTTCAACTACGAAATTCTTGTGGGGAAAGTATCAAAAAATATCGCGCGCCATAAGTTTTAAATAATTTATAGTTTAAAAAAATAAGCGAACTAAAAAGTAGAAAATAATTTTCAATAAGATTAAAATAAGAAAATAGTGGTTAACATAAAGATCATTTTATTCTAAAAAAGCGTGGGGTGCTTTTTCAGATATTTTTATGATGACGCTAATTTTACAAATATCCACCAAAATATTTACAACAAATGACATCAAGCGCTATAAAAATAAGTAATATACAAATACAGAGTGGCCGGAGAAGTGACGTCCAAAGATAAAATTTAGATACCGACGTAAACCATAATATTTTAGGTGGTATCTGACATTATGGTAATGAATTACAAAAAGAACAAAAATCACAAACTTACTTACACAAACCAATAGAAAGAGAAAAAAATCAAAATAGTTGTCAGGTGTAAAATTATAAAAAAATCATAAAAAACCAAGCAAAAAACCAGCAAGACTGTATGGGGAACAAATTCAAAGTATTAAGAAAATAAAAACTACTATCAAAATTCAAACTACTATAAAATCTCCTAAACTACTAAGAATCGCAGAACATACATACGGCCCGTATGATACGGGTGGTTCGGATACCCCTCAATATAAGGCATCAAAATTTTATCTTTGGACGTCACTTCTCCCGCGACCATATATAAGGATCACGTGTTATTTATTTATTTATTATGACATCAATTCAGATTTTCTAGTTTTTAGCTACAATCGGAATAGATTCTATATAACTTTTTGGAAAACAACAGTACACAATATTTTATTTTATTTATTTATTCAAAGTCGGTAACTTATGTGGGAGATGGGAACTTTGCGCGCCTACTGCTTTCCTTAGATGTAGTAGCCGTTTCTCAGGCTCTACGGAAAGTTTTATTCTATACGTGCACTTTGCACAAAGACTCTACAGTGTATCACGGATGGGAAAAATCGGTAATCCTGAGGATCCTGGCAAGGATAATGTGACAAACTACTTAAATTATTGCATTGTCATCGGTCCTTGATAAGTGTGCGAAGTTTGAAATAAATATGACATTTTGAAGGCGAAGAAAATCACATTCAAAAAATCCGTTAGATAGATACATACCAAGCTAATAAAAGCGTGTTAAAAATGAGGGGTCCTCTCTTAAAAAACATGATAATAAAGGTTATTTTCTGTTATTCATATTATAATGTCTAGTAAGTATTCAAATTTAAAAATTCATAAATTGGCGATATATTAAAAATGGGTCAAATCAAGAGTACCGTTAACCGACGAGCGTGTATGCGTAGGTATATGGATGTGGAGGAAGCGAGAGAGGTGTGTCAGGATCGTGCCAAATGGAAGTCCATAATCTCTGCCTACCCCTCTGGGTGACAGGCGTGAGTGTTTATGTTTTTGTTTAATACATGAAGTATTTGTATTTCCTAAATCACAAAGCTATAATATAAATTTGATAGGATTTCCCAAAAGGATGGTTGTGTTTTTAGGTGTACGTATATGTATTATGTATGCTGGTCTATTCCTTCGTAAACTCCTGTAGCCGAAACGGCTTGATGAACTTTTGATGTGTGAGGTTTTATTAGGTTCTTCATACCTGGTGTATGATAGCTTATATTTTATGGTTATTATCCCACTACGACTTGCATCCCCTAATGAGTTGATTGCATAAAGTGTATTACGACAAACATAATTTTATTTTTTAATGGTCAATAGTCGGGTTCATTGTTTTTATAATAATTTACTTGTTTGGCCTTACAGAGGATCCTAAAGACCTCATTAGAAGGCTGCTGGTGGTAGAGCCTAGCGAGCGAATTGATTTACGCGAAGCTTTAATGCATCCCTTTTTCAACACTATGGTGAGTTCTTTTACATTTTATGATATAAGACATATTTGACATAATTAGAATTTACTTGTATAATATATATTTTTTAAATAATATATATTGAATTTTCTACATTAATTCGGGATTCTCTACCTGCGTCAATCTTCCCAGACCACTTCAATTCCAGACTTTTCAAGGCAAGATTGACTAGACATATTCTAGCCTAGTGTTTACCATCTAGAACCTCCACTTAACATCAGGTGGGAACAGTTCAAATGTTGGGTCATTAATGACAAAAATTAAATAACATGTATTAACTTGAATTACTTAGTGAAGTCCCACAAATAGTTAAGTACTCATCGTTTTCTCTATATATAGTTTTAATACTAACCTATTTTTTTTATAATTCACGCTTTCATATCAAATCAAGCAGACTATTTTTTTTTTATATTTCATATTGAGTTAAAAAGACACTATAATCTGCGCACGATCTACTTAATATTTATTCGTCAGTTTTATGATAGAATTATCTTTATTCTTTTGTAGTTATACTTCTAGGCTTCGCATAAATAGTTAAAAATTTTACGCTTATCTTTTACTCGCCACCTGCACAAGTTACGGTGTACGGAGCACTGCAGCTTACTGTGATTAAATGTTTTAATTTATTTTACGTTAACCCAGTCATAACTTGCAAAACGGCTACAATTTTTACCACAGATTGCCAGTTTTACAGTTTTATTCAAACGCTTCAAATATGATTATTTATGTTTCTTTCTTAATAATTTTGATGTACTTTTTCATACCTTACAATATAATCCATGAAAAACAGTAAATAAATTTTATAATATGAGAATTACCTAGCCAGTAACACGATCAATCTTTCTTAATTCTTCGGAACAGTTAAATAATTTTGCGACAACTAATACGGTCCCGTATGAACCCCCGCATCTTTTTTTATGAAAATCTGTTCTTTACACCTTTTCGATTTAAACCGTAGGTCCCATATTCTCAAAAAAATGTTTCTTAAGGTTGAGACTTTATGCGTACTACCTATTTATTGTGAAATTGAATAGAGAGCTGTGCTTTTATAACGTTTTAGTTTTAGAGTTAAAATGCCAATTATTTGTTATCACTGTTATAATTAAAATTGACCTGGGCTAACGTAAAATAGTAATAGCAATTGATTCACAATTGCACACATGCAAAACAGCCAATGGAATGACGTATGTGTTACTATTTATGGAAATTATAACACGTTCAATTCCATCGGTTCTTTCAATTTTATTTGCTGGAATGTTTATGTAAAGCTACCTATGTGCTTCACTCCTGGTAGTTGTGGGACCAGGACATGATGCCGCTCAAGAAATCGCTGTCCGGAACCAGCCGAAGGATGTCCAGGATTGACCAATTGTCTATGGTAATGCTCATAGGCCTCAAATATTAATTACACGTGCACATGTGAAATTACAAATACACTCTAACATAATATAAATTTTGTATCAAAGCATTAGTCTAATAAAAATATCCTTGTTTTGGACTTTCGTATAATTTTTGTGATGCTAATACATATTTTAGACCTGTTTAGTGGATCACTATGTTGTTAATTTGACATATTCCTGATTGCTAAAATTAATTATATAGTGAATAAATGGCAATCGACTATGTGTGTAATAGAAACTTTTGGATTTTTTTTTAATTTAACACATCTTACATTATGTTATAAAAATCTTTTCCTTTTTATGTAACACGGTAATTTTACTGACATTTTAGCTGTAACACTGCACAAACTATTGACATAAATGTCAATAAAATTTGGTTCTATTTAGTACGAATAACAACAAACCTAAGAAAGAAATATTTCACTCATTAATGTAAGTGAAATATTTCTTTTCTTTATAGATAGTTCTAAAACACTTTAAATCGTTTCGTATAATTTGATTATATTTGCATGTTATGCATGTTTGCACGTTTTTTTTTTTAATATCAAACAGTATTAAAGTATACGTAATATGTAAATACAAGATGACCTAGATATCGGACTAAAACCTCTTGATTTCTTAACCTTCCTTAGGTAGGTACTGTACATACAGAACGGCAAACTAGTCAAAAACGGTTGCAATCAAAAAGAGAATTGGTCACAATCGTGTGATAGGGATCTAGAACTGATGCATAGATTCATTGTTTTGTGCATTTCTATTGAAATATCGTAAACCAATTGTAATAATAATGTCGTGTCTGATTTATAAAAGTAAAATAAAATTTTTCGGAGCTTCTCAGGGGTTCGTTCTCTCCGCAACTTTCTTCCTGGTGCATATTAACGATCTATTTATGCTCGGTATCTATAGATATACATATAACAACATATTATAGGGTATACAGACAACAACATATTATATGTGAAAGAGAAGCTATGGTTAAGCGTGCGTGTCTAACTGCTGGTAGTTTCCAAATAGGGCGTTGCCAATCTTGAGAGATTCAACGCCTCCAAAACACAAGCGAGTCTTTTCACCGCTAAAAGGAGTCCGCTTACCCTAACTCTTACTTTTCGGGATATATCTTTGGAGTACACTGACCACCTTCAGTTGTTAGGGGTTGAGATTTCTTCGAACCCATACTATGGGCGATTCATTGACAAGGCTTAGGCAGTCGTAAGGAACGCTGGAGCGGCTTCTTACCTTATATAGAGCGTATGTCCTCTCTTGCATGCAGTACTTTGTTCACATATGGGTTGATGTTGCTAAATGGCACATATCAACATTAGACTCAGATGAAGGCATTTCTATTTTGAACACCGCGGCTAAAATCCTTGAACGAGTAGTATATAACATAATTTACTCCACGCTTTCACGTGCCTTCCCTGAGCAGCAACATGGTTTTTTACAAAGGCGATCCACCACTACGAACCTGGCAAGTTTTTCTTCTTTTGTCCTTGAAAATATGGATCAAGGTGGGCAGGTTGATGTGATCTACACTGATTTTGAAAAAGCTTTCGATCGTGTGGATCACATGATCCTGCTCAACAAATTACAAATATTAGGGATTCACGGTGACTTGCTCCGATGGACTGAATCATATCTCACAAACCGCTCACAAGCAGTCGTGATAGGTGGTTTCCGTTCGAGCTACATAAACATACCTACAGGTGTTCCTCAGGGCTCTCACTTAGGTCCACTTTTTTACAATGCCTACCTATATGACATTGGTTCGTGCATTATACACACAAATTACCTCATGTATGCAGATGATAAGAAGATTTTTTGTAAAATTAACACCATACATGACTGCCTATTGATACAAAAAGACCTGGACCGTTTATTTGAATATTACAAAATAAATAATATAACTGTCAATGCAAGCAAGTGCGAATGTATTAGTTTTACACGGAAATCTAAGCCAATTCTAAATAAATATCACTTTGACGGATTAGAAATCAGCCGAAAAGTAAGTGTTAGGGATTTAGGCGTAATTTTTGATCATAAAATGATACTATCCGAACACATTGATTACGTTATCAGTAAATCCTATAAAAATCTTGGTTTTGTTCTTCGCATCTGTAAACCATTCTCGAATATTAATACAATTAAAATGGTTTATTTTGCATATGTCAGAAGTGTTTTGGAATATGCTAGTTCAATATGGTCTCCACAGTACAATGTCTACAAAAGCCGCCTTGAGCGTATTCAAAAAATATTTGTTAATCACCTTAACTTTCGCTGTCGGAATAAAATCGATACTTACACAGACAGTTGCACTGAGCACGATCTCTTATCTCTGGAACACAGGCGCATTTTGCTTGACATGGCTTTGTTATATGATATAATAAACAGTAATATTGACTGTCCATATCTTGTCTCAAGAATCACCTTCCGTACTCCAAAATTCCGTACCCGCAATACTACATTGTTACAGACTCCCTGGCATCATTCAAACTACTGTCGAAACACTGTTCTTTCGCGGCTTGCTCGTACATATAATGAACAATTTGGACACATTGACCTCTTTGCGAAATCTAAACTTACGTTTAAAGATTACATCAAGAAAACTATTACGAAATAGAGCAGTTGAAGTTAAATTCACACACAATCATATATTCTCTCATCTATTTCTTCTATATGTATTTTTGAGGCTACTAATATAAATATAAGTACTTAAGTTATTTTATTTAATATATATTATAATTAATTATTTGTATTATGTTTATATATTTAAACATTTAATATGTATATATACATAAGTAAATATATATGTATATATATATATATATATCTTATATGTTTATATATATATATATATATCTTATATGTTTATATATATATATATATATATATATATATATATATATATATATATATATATATATATATAAAGGTAATCTAATATATCATTCTACCTGACTATCTCTCCTGATCTGTAAACTTATGACCACCTTCATTACATTGAATTGCTTATAATTTATCTATTAGATTGTTCTTTTTCCTTTTCTTCTAACAACAATACACCTACCATCAAACAATATAAGGAAACCTGTTATTGGCCATACTTTTAGTTTGTTACATTAATGTTAATATTTTCTATATACGCTGTTGGTTTTCTAAATAAATAAATAAATAAATCAATGGTGGTATGGGGCTTATTAGTAACCTTGGTTTGGTTGAAGCCAATCTCGTCCAAAATCGTCGACACATTCAATCTTTACAACGTTGTTAACGAGAGATTGTGGACGATAAATCCGTCACCTCCTTGGAACAGATGCCTAATCCTTATATAATGGAGTAATGGACGAGTACTCAGTCGTACTCTGTAGGACGATATGCACTCGGTCATTACCGGGTGTCAGTCTGTAGGGTATCATATGAATTGTTTGCAAATTAGTTAAGTGCTTATAATCTAAATTGGCAGATGTCGATTTTTGAAATGAGTGTACTTCTATTGTATGTTGCATTTTTCCGCGCTAGCAGCAATTATTGAACATGGATTTAAACGCTTTTTTTGCTGATGTTTTGAAATGTGAAATTAACCCCATGAATCGTTACAGACTTTGTAATTAGCAACAGACGTTAACTCAATGTAAAATGTATCTCTAATGTTTGTAAATGTATGACGTGTATGGGTAGGTATTCACAAGGAGCATTCGTATTTAATGTAATAAACTAGCGAGAGCATTATGTTATAATAGTTTGCGTCAACATATTTATATTATGCCTCTGTAACAGATCCACATTGAGCGTTAATATGCTGGAAGATTTATTATTTCATTTTGAAACGATTGTGTTGATTGGTCTTGTGGGCAATATTTATATTAAATAGTTTAGTAAAAAGCAAATAACGAGGGTATTGATAACATAGTTTACGCTTATGTTCGATATTATAACATTTATAAGTGGGCGCACTGTAGTATTGCTCTTGGGCTGCTAATGAAATGGTTGAAGCACAGTTGTTACAATAAACGTTGATGCTACGGGTCAGAGTCCACCGTAACGACACGCGTGTGTCCGTGTGTTGCAGGCCATTAAGAGCGGTGGGTTCTCCGCGCGCGGGCGGCTGCGCGTGGCGCTGCTGGCCGTGCGCGGCGCCGTGCGGCTGCGGCGCCTCCCGCACACCGCCGCGCGCGCCATGCCGCTCGCCGACGCGCTGCGCGACCCCTACACCATGCGCGCGCTCCGCAAGGTACGCACACACGCACCGCACACCGCACACCGCACACCGCCGCGCGCGCCATGCCGCTCGCCGACGCGCTGCGCGACCCCTACACCATGCGTGCGCTCCGCAAGGTACGCACACACGCACCGCACACCGCACACCGCACACCGCCGCGCGCGCCATGCCGCTCGCCGACGCGCTGCGCGACCCCTACACCATGCGTGCGCTCCGCAAGGTACGCACACACGCACCGCACACCGCACACCGCACACCGCCGCGCGCGCCATGCCGCTCGCCGACGCGCTGCGCGACCCCTACACCATGCGTGCGCTCCGCAAGGTACGCACACACGCACCGCACACCGCACACCGCACACCGCCGCGCGCGCCATGCCGCTCGCCGACGCGCTGCGCGACCCCTACACCATGCGCGCGCTCCGCAAGGTACGCACACACGCACCGCACACCGCACACCGCACACCGCCGCGCGCGCCATGCCGCTCGCCGACGCGCTGCGCGACCCCTACACCATGCGCGCGCTCCGCAAGGTACGCACACACGCACCGCACACCGCACACCGCACACCGCCGCGCGCGCCATGCCGCTCGCCGACGCGCTGCGCGACCCCTACACCATGCGCGCGCTCCGCAAGGTACGCACACACGCACCGCACACCGCACACCGCACACCGCCGCGCGCGCCATGCCGCTCGCCGACGCGCTGCGCGACCCCTACACCATGCGCGCGCTCCGCAAGGTACGCACACACGCACCGCACACCGCACACCGCACACCGCCGCGCGCGCCATGCCGCTCGCCGACGCGCTGCGCGACCCCTACACCATGCGCGCGCTCCGCAAGGTACGCACACACGCACCGCACACCGCACACCGCACACCGCCGCGCGCGCCATGCCGCTCGCCGACGCGCTGCGCGACCCCTACACCATGCGCGCGCTCCGCAAGGTACGCACACACGCACCGCACACCGCACACCGCACACCGCACACCGCCGCGCGCGCCATGCCGCTCGCCGACGCGCTGCGCGACCCCTACACCATGCGCGCGCTCCGCAAGGTACGCACACACGCACCGCACACCGCACACCGCACACCGCACACCGCACACCGCACACCGCACACCGCCGCGCGCGCCATGCCGCTCGCCGACGCGCTGCGCGACCCCTACACCATGCGCGCGCTCCGCAAGGTACGCACACACGCACCGCACACCGCACACCGCACACCGCCGCGCGCGCCATGCCGCTCGCCGACGCGCTGCGCGACCCCTACACCATGCGCGCGCTCCGCAAGGTACGCACACACGCACCGCACACCGCACACCGCACACCGCACACCGCCGCGCGCGCCATGCCGCTCGCCGACGCGCTGCGCGACCCCTACACCATGCGCGCGCTCCGCAAGGTACGCACACACGCACCGCACACCGCACACCGCACACCGCCGCGCGCGCCATGCCGCTCGCCGACGCGCTGCGCGACCCCTACACCATGCGCGCGCTCCGCAAGGTACGCACACACGCACCGCACACCGCACACCGCACACCGCCGCGCGCGCCATGCCGCTCGCCGACGCGCTGCGCGACCCCTACACCATGCGCGCGCTCCGCAAGGTACGCACACACGCACCGCACACCGCACACCGCACACCGCCGCGCGCGCCATGCCGCTCGCCGACGCGCTGCGCGACCCCTACACCATGCGCGCGCTCCGCAAGGTACGCACACACGCACCGCACACCGCACACCGCACACCGCCGCGCGCGCCATGCCGCTCGCCGACGCGCTGCGCGACCCCTACACCATGCGCGCGCTCCGCAAGGTACGCACACACGCACCGCACACCGCACACCGCACACCGCCGCGCGCGCCATGCCGCTCGCCGACGCGCTGCGCGACCCCTACACCATGCGCGCGCTCCGCAAGGTACGCACACACGCACCGCACACCGCACACCGCACACCGCACACCGCCGCGCGCGCCATGCCGCTCGCCGACGCGCTGCGCGACCCCTACACCATGCGCGCGCTCCGCAAGGTACGCACACACGCACCGCACACCGCACACCGCACACCGCCGCGCGCGCCATGCCGCTCGCCGACGCGCTGCGCGACCCCTACACCATGCGCGCGCTCCGCAAGGTACGCACACACGCACCGCACACCGCACACCGCACACCGCACACCGCCGCGCGCGCCATGCCGTTCGCCGACGCGCTGCGCGACCCCTACACCATGCGCGCGCTCCGCAAGGTACGCACACACGCACCGCACACGCGCGCCGCACACGCGCGCCGCACACGCGCGCCGCTTACGCGCGCCGCGCACACGCACCGCGCACACACAGCGTACACACGCACCACACACACGCACCGCACACACGCACCGCACACGCGCGCCGCACACGCGCACCGCGCACACACACCGTACAGGCGCGCCTCGCAGACGCACCGCGCACACACACTGCACACACGCGCCCCGCACACACGCACCGCCCACGCGCACCGCAGAGACGTACCGCCCACGCGCGCCGCGCACATACACCACACACACGCGCCGCGCACACGCACCGCACACACGCATCGCACACACGCATCTCACACACACCACACACACGCACCGCACACACGCGCCGCGCACACGCACCGCACACACGCACAACACACACGCACCGCACACACGCACCACACACACGCTCCGCGCACACTCACCGCACACACGCACCGCACACACTCACCGCAAACACGCTCCGCACACACGCTCCGCACACACGCTCCGCACACACGCACCGCACACACGCTCCGCGCACACTCACCGCACACACGCACCGCACACACTCACCGCAAACACGCTCCGCACACACGCTCCGCACACACGCTCCGCACACACGCACCGCACACGCGCACCGCGCATACGCACCGCGCATACGCACTGCACACACGCACTGCACACACGCACTGCACACACGCACGCTCGCAGATATTTTAATGTTTTCTAATTCCAGGTTATCGATGGCTGCGCATTTCGAGTATATGGTCACTGGGTTAAGAAAGGGGAAGGACAAAACCGCGCTGCACTGTTTGAAAATACGCCGAAGACCGAGCTAAAGAGCCTTTATGTCAGCAACTTGAGCCGATAGCTGTGGCGGTGCTGCTTCTGGGTGCTTTGTAATTAACTCCTGGACTTTTGGTAAATGTTATTTAAATTATTTTTAGTGATATTTCGCATTGGCAAATTAATATTATTCAATAAAATAACGTGGATGTAGTGTAGGGATTCTCAAATTTATTGTAATGAAACACTCGCCAAATCCCTTTTATTTTATGGAACCCCACATCAAATGATTTCATATTATCATCGACTTTCTAATACACCTACACATGGGTTCTTCTCATTAAATTAATTGCGCTATTTTAAAATAATTTAATTAGCACTTAAATGTAAAATTATTTCACTTTGTACTACAACAAAATAAAACAACATAATAATATCAGTGTGTCTGAAACTGTTTCTAAAATACGTAATAGGTATTTTTACGTAACCCCGCAAAACTATATTTTGCAAATGTTTGTAAATTTAATTTTGTGACTACTTTGGTGGCTTACCGATTTATAATTTTATTTATTGTCGATTTTTTTCAATTCTAACAAAACACTGACTTTGTAGTTTTGTACTCAACACCGACACGTATGACATAGGTAATTAGTATTGTAACGAGATTTGAAATCACGGGCCAACTTGCGTTTCTAATAATAAAACCACCGAAAATAAAATTGCGTATTTTTAATAATTAATTACTATACCTACAATAAATTACAATATATTTTATTATATTGGAATCAAATACATATTAGAAATATTGCAAATTGAATCAATGAAAATCATACAAAAATATAATATAAATCGCAAGAAATCCTTGCGCGCGGGATTTCTTCCTATCCTATTCCTTGAAAATCGAGATTTACTTTAGAATGTTTAAATTTTATTACAGTCAAACAAGACAAGGAAGTTTGACATCGCTTTTTCTTCGTGCATCTAGTTCAAGGTTAGGAAGTACGGCATCGTTGCATAATATCTACCTACGAATAATGGTTTTTGTTGGACAACAATATCGTCTGCACGCCATCTAGCGTGCCAATGTTTAAACTGTGTTTGTGGCGCTTTTGCTTGGCAAGTTGTCAAAATTCATTCACACTACCAAAGAAGTGTCAAAATTTTCCTAGATTTCACTATTGTTTTCTGCCGACTTCCAAAAAGGAGACGGTACTCAATTCGACGCGTATGTTTTTTTTTTATGTATGTTATCTCATAACTTTTTACTGGGTGGACCGATTTCGATGATTCTTTTTTTATATGAAAGCTGATACTTATCGTGTGGTCCCATATGAATTTGATCAAGGTCAGACCAATAGTTTTTGAGTTATTTGAGTTATTCTTAATTACTTATATTGAAGTCGGCTGTACAAAATTATTAATTTTAAATTATTCTTAATAAATACTAAGTTAATTCCTAAGAAGGTCAATCGCGAGCACATTTCAGTGTAGAAAAGTGATAAAATGATTAGTTTTAAACAAATAGTGTCTGCGTTTAACGTATATATCAAAACAAAAATGTATGGCGGAGGTATTGGAGCTTCCCCCTTAAGTAAACCAAATACTTGGTTCGATTCCCCGTTAGTGAAAAATATATATAGTATAGTGAGTAGATAAAGATTTCGGCGTCCGCGAGAATATTGACCCTATTGTCAGCTGATTTTATTTTAAGTTTCACTACTGGTTTTACGTTTAAGTATTTTCATGATTTGTTTATATGAAGTTATCGTTTTATTTAGCTGTACTAACATGATGGAGCGTGAATAAAGCTAATAAAACTTTGTGATAAGATGATTTTTTTTCCTCGGGATCGGTTTTCTTTCTGACCCATCATGAAAGGTATCGTTAGTACTGTTGCGCGCCACTATTAATGCCTTGTACATGGCAACACTAGTTACCACTAGCGCCCTCTAGTATTGAGTAGCAAACCTGGGAGAGTCAAGATCCTTCTAGAAATATCGGGACCTATATGTACTCGAACATTCTAGATAATTCTATAGTAGAAGGTTCTGGAAACTACCTGAGGCCCTATATAAGGCTGGTATAGACCGCGACCGAGGCAGTATTGAATTGGCGATATAAGCGAATACTTCGAAGCGAAATAACTGCGAACTAAAGTGATCAGTAGTACAATTGTGTTTTATTATTAGTGTGGTTTTAAGTTAGTGTTTTGTAATTAAAGTGTCAAATTAGGCAATTCAATCGGCAGTTTTGAATTGTCTCGAACCCCAAGCTCGTAACAGTACTATCGTCTGTCTTCGTTTTCGGGAGCGATTCAAAAACATCCAGTATATTGCGTGAGAACATATTATGATACTTGGTACTGGTAAATATTTATTTTTCTTTGGTAATGGATTTTTACAGCTGTACTTTGGCCAGTGTTTAAATATATGTATATCGGAAATGACAACAGGAGATCCCACTTCTGATGTCGGAGAATTCAACATAGGATTCCAATTTTGATTTCGGAAATACATCAGGATAGCGTTAACTGTTAAAAATAATAAAAGTGTGAGAGCGGATGTTCAACTTGCTCTCTTGCTTACGCAGTTTAATCATTATCAGTAATAAGACAGCGTAACGCACTATACATTCAGCATAGTGAAATTACAGTTCGACCACACCGTAACACGTCTCTGCCACAATCACACACCAGTGTAACGTGAGGTACGTAATTACATGATAACACCAAAATATGTAAACCAACAGCAACACTACTTATCTCAATGTAACACAGGGCAGCCTCTCAGCAACACTAATCCTCCTTGCCTGCACTAGAAGAATTACAACAACGAACAAAACCACGACACTATCTTAGCACTAGTGGAATGACCACACTCGTTGAATGACTCGAGCGAACTCTCCGGCGCACGGCACCTACAGTGAAGTTTATACTACAGACACAAGAGGGGGTTTCTCGATATACCCTCCATTCTACCTCGACCCAACCGGGTATTTTATAGACGCTCCGACACGGCCGTCCTGACGTACGACCGTCCTCGGGCGTGTATCTTTATGCATTTCTGTAACACACAAAAATTCGTCCGCTCGTCCATCCTGACACGAGTGGGTACACATTATTAGTTCCGAAAAACTAATTGTTACATGGCGCTGCTTGCCGCACTATGGCGCCATCAATTCACGACACGGCCACTTCTGACTTAGCATCCGTCCTCGGTTGCAGTGCCTGGAGACAAAATATGCTCAATGATTAATCTAGCTTGGCTATTCTGCCAATAGAAACAAGGTTGATTCAAAATAGTACTTCACTTCTCTCAAGTCTAAGTACAATAGTCAACTGTCATAATTGACAATGCCTTGTTATTAAGGCTTCTTACACAGTGCTTCCTGCACAACATGATTTATCGTGGAAGGTCCGATCAACAAGTTCCATCACAGTAATTTTAACAATTTTTTACTCTTTACAGTTCAACAATACCAACAATAAGCAATGCATATTCAACTCGTGAAACTTTCATTGAAATCTGTGCACCAACACAGACCAGAATCGCACCAACGATTCTTTACATATCCGCCGTCACATATGCCAGAATCGCACCAACGATTCTCCACATATCTGCCGTCACATATGCTACAATACACATGGGGCTCTGTGCACCAACACAGGCCAGAATCGCACCAACGATTCTTTACATATCTGCCGTCACATATGTCGGAATCGCACCAACGATTCTCCACATATCCACCGCCAAATATGCTACAACACATCTGTCGCCACATATGCCAGAATCGCACCAACGATTCCCTACATATCTGCCGCCAGATATGCACCAACACAGACAGAAATCGCACCAACGATTTCCTACAGACCCATCGCCACATGTTACTCATGAGGTGCGGTCTAAAGTTTTGAGTATGAGTATACAAGCATTCTTAATCAAATTTGGTCTCACTACCACTGTCATCAACTATGACATCTAACTCTCGAGGAACTTGGTGATCGGGGATCTCCCTCTCATGATCATGGGGGTGAAAGGATACTTTGCACACTAACATAACCGATTTCGGTTTAATTTACAATATTATTTTCACTTTTGCCACTAAATTTTGGCGCAACACAATCTTTGATGAGGCTCTCTCATTCGGCACCAAAATCGTAATAAAATGGGTACGACTCACCAGTATTCATCAGCGCACCGCTGGGATTGCTCACATAGTAAACATCAACACGTCGCTCACTGCTCGCCTCTGCGGCAGGCGTAAGGCAAGCGCACGTGGCTATTAAAACAAACCAGCACACGCCATAGTTAGCTGCCATGAAGCAAGTTCACGCGGTCAAAACAACCGCACAGGGCGTGCCGCACTCGCACAGCGAGCCGTCGCATCTCACTAGCACCAGCGAGACGCTGCACCGTACCACGCACTCCCAAAGCGTAAAACGGGAACAGCAGGAGCACCTGAGGGTTCACAGGCATCGTAGAGGTTGCAGTCATCGTGATCTGCGTGAAAAACAAGTTGATAATTGTCAGGACAACATACACAATTGCCTATCCTTTCATCCATCACGCATACGAGGCCCTCAAACAGAAATACGCTCTCATACTGCAGACTATAAAAAGAACTTCGCTTTCACAAGTATGGATTCATCTCCATACGATGTAACTCACACATACGCGTACATGAACTATCAAGTTACCACGTTAACTACGTAAACCACGTTAAAAACGCGAACCAGGACACTGCCTGCCAGGACAGAGCCTGATGCATGTTCAGAGAACACGACTTCCGCGCATACAGAGTATAACACTTCCGCGCACACATAGCGTACGACTTCCGCGCACACATAGTGTAAGACTTTTGAGGCACCGCCATGTACAGCATACGTGCGCTCCGGGATGGCGCCTGCGTATACGCACATACGCGTCTGCCAAAACCAGGCCATGCTACAGATGGACTGAGCGGTCCGTTCGGACTAGCAAGGCACATACTCGCCTCACGCTCGCGCGCATGTAATCACATCATACGTGCTACTGTAACACAAAAGAAAACATTAAAAAGAATCAGTCTGAACTTAATTTTAAAAAAAATATAGCACAACTCTCGGGACACCATTCGCCTTTCTAGGGCACCATATACTGAGCTGCGGCTACACGACAACCTCTGGTATGGTCCGATCCTCATGTAAATTTAAATACTCTCTTCAATGTCGGAACTAATTTGCTCTTCTTCAACTTCGTCAATTATACTTTGGTTTTCCAACATTTTTCGCAACCAATTAAAAAGTTAAACACTCATTCCTACAAAATAGTTTCTAAGACAATGTTTAGGATAAATTTACTTTCCTCATGTATCTCATGGTGATTGGTAGCAGTGGTAATTAATGTGTCCGCAGCGTCATATGCCCACAGCATACTTCCACTCAAAAGCGAGCGCAACAGCACCACGCCTTCCACTAAACTCTCAACATCAAATCCCAATTTTGTCGACTACGTAATACTCGCAGTAAACTGTAACACTTATCAACACATTAGAACACAGAAGTACAACTTAGTGTTTTTAATTAATAGCACGTTAAAGTTAAACATTTTTCGGTACCTCGTTTAAACATTTTAAACTTTAAAATTAACCTATGTAAATCACACCTCGTGTATCAAATTATAACAACTTGAGCAAATTAAACTTCCACTGAATTCAAACTATAACTCATTTAGAATACCTTCAACATTTCTTTCGACTTAAGAAATAATGAAAGTACTTGCGGGTACTTTTTATTATAAACCGAACAAAAAGATTTAACTTTTGGCTTAAAACATTTCACTTTTAACTTTTACTCTACACTTTAATGATCCGTCAGTGTCGTAAATACGACAACAAACTTGATTTAAGAAATTAAACACAAAAACAAAACGCGAGGCGCATCATAGTATTTCACCAACGTAATAATCCTCACACTATTCAAAGGTTATAACAGATGGGCAGTAACAGGGACTTTATCCCACTTCTGATATCGGAAATGACAACAGGAGATCCCACTTCTGATGTCGGAGAATTCAACATAGGATTCCAATTTTGATCTCGGAAATACATCAGGATAGCGTTAACTGTTAAAAATAATAAAAGTGTGAGAGCGGATGTTCAACTTGCTCTCTTGCTTACGCAGTTTAATCATTATCAGTAATAAGACAGCGTAACGCACTATACATTCAGCATAGTGAAATTACAGTTCGACCACACCGTAACACGTCTCTGCCACAATCACACACCAGTGTAACGTGAGGTACGTAATTACATGATAACACCAAAATATGTAAACCAACAGCAACACTACTTATCTCAATGTAACACAGGGCAGCCTCTCAGCAACACTAATCCTCCTTGCCTGCACTAGAAGAATTACAACAACGAACAAAACCACGACACTATCTTAGCACTAGTGGAATGACCACACTCGTTGAATGACTCGAGCGAACTCTCCGGCGCACGGCACCTACAGTGAAGTTTATACTACAGACACAAGAGGGGGTTTCTCGATATACCCTCCATTCTACCTCGACCCAACCGGGTATTTTATAGACGCTCCGACATGTAGATGCATTACAATGTAAAGTTTTTGGAAGATTTTGACATAGTATTGGATAGCATGGGAACACTGGTTCCAACGTTTCCACTAGGGATGTTACGGAAGTGGTTATATCGGAACCGAATTCGGAAGCGGAGTTTTTCATTTTGTTTGTCGGAACCGGAACCGAAATCGGATCCGGAATCGGAAGTGGAGGCAGAAGAGATGTGTTAAGGGCAAGTCTATTGCACTGTATTTTTTTAACAATTTTTTTGAATTCTTCGAACCTTCATTTCGTGAATATATCTTCTCACATAGTTTACACTTTCCTGTATTCCCAGAAACTTCATTGAAATAATTCCAAATGGCACTTGATTTTGGCTTCATCGTCCAATTCAAATAAATTTGTTACACGCCAAATAAAACACTACTAAAACTAATCAAAAACTCGGATAAGTATAAATGAAGCGCGAACAAAACATCAAGTTAAAGAGTAATCGACAGAAGGCACGGGGGAAGGGAGGTTCCCAGGGCGACAAATATAAACTTGTTCACGCTGGTCGCGGCAGCCCCCGCCACTGTGCATCGACCTCCGATATATAACTTCCGGGAATTTTGATGTCAAAAATGCAGCTCGCTCTGTTCGTTCTCATACGGATAAAGTCGATGCCATTTTTGAAAATCTATCTATTGAAGCATAATGAAACCGAACCGTTTTTGAAAAGATTGATCACTGGTGATTAAAAAAAGTGGATCACTGCCAGAATTGATCAACAGAAAAGGAGTGGTCTTTCATCATGATAATGCCAGACCACACACATCTTTGGCCACTCAGCAAAAATTGAGAGAGCTTGGTTGGGAAGTGTTAATGTATCCACCATATAGTCCTGACCTTGCACCCTCAGATTTTCACCTGTTTCGGTCTCTTCAGAATTCTTTGGGTAGTGTTAGGTTAACATTCGCATATTTTCGCGTGCAGGTCGCTTTTTTTTTGGTTAAAAATCTAAAGATTTCTACAGCAATGGGATTATGTTATTACCTACAAGATGGCAACAAGTTATCGAACAAAATGGCATATATCTATGTATTATAATTAAATGTAATTAAAGGAGATGAACTTCGTTCCAAACAAGCTTGAGCCCGGCGTGAACAAAGTTCAAATATATCTTATTTTGAAGATTGAAACATTTGTTACTTATGACAAAAAATCATCTTTTTCTAGGGCCTGGGGTTTTGTTTTTATTTTGTTTTATTATTTGTAGGTTATGTAGTAAAATCACTCGTTCTTGGGATAAGTTGTATGAATAAATTGAAAAGAACACAGAAGGATGCCGTTTCTTAATTATTATTAAATTAAATAAAATACAACTCAAACTTTTGTAATTATTTAATTATTTTTTGCAATAATTGCAAAAAATAATTAAACAATTAGTTTATTTTAATTAATAATTATTATAAATAAAATGTCATCTAGAAAAGCAGCCGGAGGCTGTACATTGTCTGTTCTATTCCTCTCAAAACCCAAGTAACACATTATTGTCATTATGTGGGCGCAATAACCTACTGTCCTGTAAATCGAGAGAAAACCTAGGGGTCACATTAAATTAATTCACGAAAATAAAAACATGAAATATATCCACAAACACAACCACAATACCAAATGTGCATGACAAGCACAGACTAAATGACAAGTTTAAATTTGAAGTTGCCAAGTTATGTCTCTTTCAAAACAGGCAATGATTAAGGACCACACAGCCTTATCAATCGTGTCCGATATTATTCAAATATTTTGTTTAGTTTAATAACGTAGCCTATTCTAAATGGATTTCTTTCATTTAGTATTAATTTCTACAGTTTCGTCTCAATGTTTCAATATTATGAGTTTTTTTTTTATATACTGAAAGCTATTTATTACAAAAATAGCCTTCATTATCTAATGCCATAGACAAAATACATAAAAATATTTAAAAACATTTTGTTTTTGCTATGGTAAAAGCATTAGCTTTCGTTTTTCAGTTTAAAAAAATGTTTTTATAATTGTCCCATACACTACAGAAACAAAAACCATTTAATTATGCTTATAATTTATCGTTATATTACCTACATATTTTTTATAACTGTTATGAACGAAGTCACCAACCCAATTTTATACATCTCGTTTAGAAAAAAAAATGTCTTGAATATGTATACTAAATACTAAGAAACTTTATCCCCAACCTTATAATATGTAGGGAGTCGATGGATGCAGGTGACAGGACCGCTCTTTGTGGTATTCCTTGGGAGTGGCCTATGTCCAGCTGTTGACTCGTGAGGGCTGTAATGATGATGACGATGATTTAATAAGGTGCAGCGTAGGCTCCCACTAGATACTCCATGTATGGTATCTATGTATGGTATGTATCATATATGAATGCAGATGACATGTGTATCACCTTACAACATCTATCATTGCTGAGCAATCAAAATGCAAAGCGTCGTCACCCTTAAGAATTAAGTTGGAATGCCGCGTCATCAGTAAAAAGGTACTCTATACTCACTAGGTATACTAAACAAAGCAGCATTATGCTGCTGTTTTAAGCTGGTATTTTGCGATGGCATGACACTCGGTCGAGCCGAACCAGTCTTGCTGCAACCATAATATAATAATAACGCAGATCTAGGATGCATAAAAATCTGTTGGGAAGTCCTATGTCCAGTTCTAGACTAGACGAATTAACAGTGCAATTTATGCTTGTGACCACGGCAGCCAATGAACACACGATTTCGAATAAAGTCACAGATTCCATATTTTCCACAGTAAGGAAATACTTTTTTTTAATTTTAGGAGTGCATGTGTACCAGGGTTGCATGATCACTGAAGAAGTCGAGCTTCGGCCCCGCGATGACTCCGACTCGTAGCCCATATCCTGTGTGATGTAGGTTAGTTTTAATAAGATGATGTCTAAACTTTCGAACCCTAGTTATTGAATTACTAATAATTGAATTTGCACGAGTCTAGAACAGTATGTAACGCGCTCGAACGCGTGTCTACGAGACTTTCGTCGTAGTAGTGTCAACGTTACGTTGTTGATAACGTAAACTAGTTTTGTTTGTTTGTTAAAGGTTAAAACATTGTTGCCACTGAAAGGTACAAAACCTGGTTGGCGATAACACCTGTCAAAACTGTTTGTTAATTGTATTTGTGTGATCATAGAACAATTAAATGTAGTTTAAGTTGTTATTTGTTTTCTTTATATTTAAGGTACACACTTAGTGAATTGTGTTTAGTATTATGTATTGTAATTTGCCGGTTTCCTTCTCTATTAATTGCAGTAATTTTATTTATTATCTGCATTCATATTTATTAGATCTGGTCATTAGTCATATTATAATTCCTTTATATTATGTATTACCGAAGAGAGAAGCAACGCCGGTATTCTAAACAGCTATGTATATATAGATAGCAAAACAATTGTATACCAGTATATCTTTTTTCCTTTTATACAAAATTCACTTAATAAATGACATTATGTATGTTGTGTTAGTTAATATTTTTATTTATTTTTTTATAATTTTTATGATATAAATATGTAGCAACATAATATAAATTATTTGTATCTAGTTATATTTATTACTCAAACTACCATTGCGAGATCAAACTTCTTTAGGCTCGAAAATTTAGGGAATGATCATCAAATTACGTTTCTCGTAAAAGTAATAAATTTTTGTGAAGTTTAGTTTATTGGTTTCTAAGTAGGAAAAAATACCGAAAATAAAATAAGAACTTATTTTTAACGTTAAGAAAAGACAGATATTCTTTTTAGGACTGGTATGATTTTGCAGTGTTTGCTGGCAATCATAAATTATGCAAAGTATATAAACAAATCACCATTGTTTTAAAAAAAATACAATCTTACAAGAAAATAAAAAACTATAATAAAGATAAAAATACTTTAGTGATCACTCAAAAGATTAAAATAGTATAGTAGAACATACCTTGCTTCTCTTAAGGCATGCAATATATATCAGCCAAGAAGAGGCATAAATGTTACGATGACATCAGTAATTCTCACTTCTGTTTAAAATATTCAAATCGCTAGGTAAACTTTTTATTTAATAAACCAAATTAAATTAATAAATGAGTATTTTTTCCTCTGAACATGCACATTTTTCTTAATTAATAGGTAAATTAGATTAAAAGTATAGGAGTATTTTAATTAATCATTTGATTTTTCATTTACAGTACTATCTCGCTAATCCGCTATCACAAAATTAAGATCAAAAAAATATGTATGATAGGACACAGCATAGTGAACTTCACATATATGAATGACAGATTAGCTGATTGAAAATTTAAAGTGACGGTGGATTATATATACTCGAATGACGGCGGATAAACAAGACAGTACAGTAATTTTATTAAAGTAGTCCGTGTAACTAACGTCTGGTGCAATTTTGCAAATTTAGTTATTTACCTTTTTATGTACGTAAGTACAATCTTGTTTATAGTCTAACCAGAAAAATAAATACAAATTAATAACTAATCAAGTTAAAATATTTTCAAATTATTTAACGAAAAGTATAGTCATACCAATATGAATTGGTCTACAGGTATTTTTGGTCGTCGTAATATAAGACCTCTCCAATAGAACGGACATTGTGTCGTTCTATTGTCGTCGACACAAATAAATAGTTAATATTTCCCACTACACTCAATATGCATCAAGTTCACTATAATATTAAACACTTAAATATGGTCGGAATATAATCTAATTCTATCGATTTTATTAACCTCAAATAAATCACAATGTTTTATATCATTTTCTTTTCTTTGTTCAAGCTTTAAAATAAATCATAGAGAAATCAGTTGGGTTTTTCTTTTGTTAAAGTTAATACACACGTCAATAAAAGTTTTGATAATCAGTCATATGAAATAAAATTGTGATATTAAAAGAGCTAACTTGTATAACAAAAAAAGAAATGAAATAACTACGTAAATAAACATTTATAATTTTACAACTCACGTGACAATTTTTTGTCCGCTACGACGACCAGTTGCGAGTATACTTCAGATATCGCGCTATAACAACTGACAATTCAAGTAATATTTACTACGTACTAGAACAAACACCGCGAACAAAATGAGCGCGTGCTCAGAGGCACAGAGTACGTTCTTATGGCACGGAGCACGGACTAAGTGAGTTTGAGACCATGGGCTCTAATGCGTGTTACAAACAACCAAGCCTCTGCGCCTCTTCTAGTACGTAGTACATATTACTTCAATGCGTTATTACTAATTTTTATAGTATCACCATCAGTGTCCCTTTCTTGTCAACGTTTACTAATAGACACCAAAGAAAAAGTTCTTATAAAAACTTATTTTGGGTCACATCTATGGTGATATATTAAATTGAAGTTTTAACAAAACGTGTTTCATTATTAGTGTATAAAATTGGATGCTAAGATGTTTGTGTAATAATTTATTTTCGAGCAAATGAAACTGTTTGTGCTGCCTAAGTTAAAAATATGTTTGTATACACTGTAGTTCTATTTTTTATCTTCCACACAATAAGAAAAGGCTTAATATATTGAATTCTTTTTAATTGGCTCTGTCATTCAAACAAACTATGTTATACTCTTTGTAATTTTACTTATAATTGGCAATAGAAATCCTCTTGTGCCATATATATTATTAATATTCGCTTTTAAAATGCGATTACACATCTAAATTATTATATGTAAATCAAAAAGTCTCACAGTAATAATTACATTTTTCTGTATTTATATAAATTATAATTATCAACAATATATTTTGTATATGATTTTATTGCGCATTGTAAACTATTTATACAAGGAAAACGTTACAAATATTTAATAGCAATAATTTAATCGAATAATAAATGCCTTAAACTTCAGTTGCCTTTTGTTCTGAACCTTTCCAGTCTAATACCGATGTCCGATGTTGGTAAAACTTTCTCGTTATTGAATTATGGAGTGTAGAGGTAAGGAGAAACATCTCTGTGTATAAATGTCCGTAAAAACGTGACCAATAAGGGTGACGCTGCGGTAACATAGGATAAATTTAAAAAAGCGCCAAAAGTAATTAAAATTTGCATGAATCGAATTATTTTAAATTCGATTTCTCAATCAGGTTGTCGTAAATGAAATAAATAATTCAAATGTATATGGGGTGACAGGCGTGAGTGTTTATGTATATGTAATTCAAAATAATTACTCAACATACAATAGGTCGGAAAAAAGACAAAAGCTGACGCGAACCATTTTTTGTAGTTTTTAGTTTACGTCCACTTGGACAACTTTTCACAATACAAGTTTTTCCCATTATTGTTCAATTATTTTATAACATTTTACAACTATCACCACAATAATATATATATATATATATATATATATATATATATATATATATATATATATATATATATAAATCACTAATAACTATTTAAAAAAGTCACATTAATAAAATCACGTTTTCTGAATGCAGCTTTTTGGTTATATTTATTTAATTATTTTAGACTACGTTAATAATTGGAGGTTTTGTATACTGCCATTTTACTAATTACTCTAGTCATGAAAGTTTTTAAATATTTGAACTCGGCACACTTCACTTCGTCTGCAACAGCTATGTTCATAACGTAGTTTTTCAGACGCCAGCGCTATTGTTTCCGACAATTTCAACTTTCCCCCCATATGAGATGGTTCTCCTTACCTCCGTACTCCATGTATTGGATGTAAAAAATCAGTTGTTCATCTGTTGATTTTTTTTACAGTTTCTTCAAGCAATCAACTGCAAAAAATATAATATAAGTCTCTTCGACAATAATGTTGCACAGACTCAATATGAAAGACATTAAATGTACCAGGTGCAGCATATTCAAATTCATTTATTTCAGATAACAAAGATCCATGGGTTAGTATTACATTAACGCTTAAAAACTAAGTGTTAGTATTTTGAAAACATTAAATTATATTATATTAGAATTAAATCAAATCAAATAAAATTAGACTATATTAAATTCTAATTTGTCATGTACCTAAGAGGCACTCCGTGCGGTTGACACCAAGAAAAACCATCCACTGTATGAGTCATCGTTCGCACGAAGTACCTCACAATAGGCGCATGCGGATCATCTGCCACCGTTCTCAAGATGCTGTTGTCACTTCTCCGTATACTTCCCATCAGCTACGCTACTTTTTTCCGAACTACGGCATAAAAACCGTCAGTTCGGGTATGTGCAAACATGCCAGCGGCACTACAGAATCGTGGAAGTGCCAACATCATCCATAATATGAACGCATGGTTTGATCTCTTTCCTTTTGTAAACTTCGACCACATCACGAACCCGTGGACAACCAGAGACTAAAGTCAATATTAATGAATCTAAAACTATTATGGAAGTGGATTATTCTAAACCTTGTCGGAATTACAAAGTTTTCAATGTAAGTGACAAAAGGAAAAAAAATATAAAGCTATAAAAGTATATATTTTGAAGTTCTAAATGTAATCAGTAAACAGTTATCGATCTAAACTTGCTTTCATTTATTGAATCTTGAACACTGTAAGCTCAACCAGTGTAGGTCGGATAAACAATTATTAATTAAAAGCCTGAGTTACCATGACATCGGGACATCAAAAACTTTGGTCCCCACCTGATAATCGGTACTGCCAAGCACCCGAACCTTTGGGAATAAAAATAAGTTAAAGGATAATCCGTAAACTGAGTTTAATAGAATGTATAGTATTCGCGTAAATATAAGAAATTTGTAATGGAATAAAACTACTTTTACGGATTTTATCGCGTTTAATTAACTTATTTTATATTCCCAACGAAAAAGCTGAAGGTACTCCGGGTTAACTCCGAAATCGGGACGTCAATCACCTCAGTCCCCGCCGAAACGTCGGGAATATAAAGTAAGTTAACTAATCGCGTTAAAATCCGTAAAAGTATTTTATTCAATGTGTAGTGTTCGCGTAAATATAAAAAATCATTAAATTTGTAATGGGTAAAGGTTTTTGGTTTTCAGAGATTATCACATGTTGCGACTATTTCACGACAAGTTGCGTTGAGAAGTGCTGAAATTCATCAGGACAATGAAATTATTGTTAACATTATTATTAGGGATTTGGACACCATTTAATATAACATTTAATACAACTCCCATTGTCAGGATGTGCTTTGCTCGACCGCACGTAATTTAGGAGCCATACCATTTATTCCAGTCGATTAAGCAATATTTATTATGACTGCCGCGCTAGCAGTGGTCGTAAGCGCGACTGCTAATCATGTGGTTCCGGGTTCGAGTTTCGGGTCAGGCCAAAATTTGTTATTCAGGCCATTATTAAGGAATGGGCAGTGTTTCAACCATGTGCCTCGCAAAGCACGTAAAATCCTTGTTCCTGCGCCTGGTCTCTCTCCTGTCGAGAAATCAGTTGGGTTCTTCTTTTGTTAAAGTTAATACACATGTCAATAAAAGTTTTGACAATCAGTCATATGAAATAAATTTGTGATATTAAAAGAGGTAACTTGTATAACAAAAAATAAATGAAATAACTATGTAAATAAACATTTATGATTTTACAATTCACGTGAAAATTTTTTGTCCGCTACGACGACCAGTTGCGAGTATCCTTCAGATATCGCGCTATAACAACTAACAATTCAAGTAATATTTACTACGTACTAGAACAAACACCGCGAACAAAATCTGTGCGGCAGTGCGGAGCGCGTGCTCAGAGGCACAGAGTACGTTCTTATGGCACGGAGCACGGACTAAGTGAGTTTGAGACCATGGGCTCTAACGCGTGTTACAAACAATCAAGCCTCTGCGCCTCTTCTAGTACGTAGTACATATTACTTCAATGCGTTATTACTAATTTTTATAGTATCACCATCAGTATCCGTTTCTTGTCAACGTTTATTAATAGACACCAAAGAGAAAGTTCTTATAAAAACTTATTTTGGGTCACATTTATGGTGATAGATTAAATTGAAGTTTTAACAAAACGTGTTTCATTATTAGTGTATAAAATTGGATGCTAAGATGTTTGTGTAATAATTTATTTTCGAGCAAATGAAATGGTTTCTGCTGCCTAAGTTAAAAAGATGTTTGTATACACTGTAGTTCTATTGTTTATCTTCCACACAATAAGGAAAGGCTTAATATATTGAATTCTTTTTAATTGGCTCTGTCATTCAAAGAAACTATGTTGTACTCTTTGTAATTTTACTTATAATTGGCAATAGAAATCCTCTTGTGCCATATATATTATTAATATTCGCTTTTAAAATGCGATTACACATCTAAATTATTATATGTAAATCAAAACAAAGTCTCACAGTAATAATTACATTTTTCTGTATTTATATAAATTATAATTATCAACAATATATTTTGTATATGATTTTATTGCGCATTGTAAACTATTTATACAAGGAAAACGTTACAAATATTTAATAGCAATAATTTAATCGAATAATAAATGCCTTAAACTTCAGTTGCCTTTTGTTCTGAACCTTTCCAGTCTAATACCGATGTCCGATGTTGGTAAAACTTTCTCGTTATTGAATTATGGAGTGTAGAGGTAAGGAGAAACATCTCTGTGTATAAATGTCCGTAAAAACGTGACCAATAAGGGTGACGCTGCGGTAACATAGGATAAATTTAAAAAAGCGCCAAAAGTAATTAAAATTTGCATGAATCGAATTATTTTAAATTCGATTTCTCAATCAGGTTGTCGTAAATGAAATAAATAATTCAAATGTATATGGGGTGACAGGCGTGAGTGTTTATGTATATGTAATTCAAAATAATTACTCAACATACAATAGGTCGGAAAAAAGACAAAAGCTGACGCGAACCATTTTTTGTAGTTTTTAGTTTACGTCCACTTGGACAACTTTTCACAATACAAGTTTTTCCCATTATTGTTCAATTATTTTATAACATTTTACAACTATCACCACAATAATATATATATATATATATATATATATATATATATATATATATATATATATATATATATATAAATCACTAATAACTATTTAAAAAAGTCACATTAATAAAATCACGTTTTCTGAATGCAGCTTTTTGGTTATATTTATTTAATTATTTTAGACTACGTTAATAATTGGAGGTTTTGTATACTGCCATTTTACTAATTACTCTAGTCATGAAAGTTTTTAAATATTTGAACTCGGCACACTTCACTTCGTCTGCAACAGCTATGTTCATAACGTAGTTTTTCAGACGCCAGCGCTATTGTTTCCGACAATTTCAACTTTCCCCCCATATGAGATGGTTCTCCTTACCTCCGTACTCCATGTATTGGATGTAAAAAATCAGTTGTTCATCTGTTGATTTTTTTTACAGTTTCTTCAAGCAATCAACTGCAAAAAATATAATATAAGTCTCTTCGACAATAATGTTGCACAGACTCAATATGAAAGACATTAAATGTACCAGGTGCAGCATATTCAAATTCATTTATTTCAGATAACAAAGATCCATGGGTTAGTATTACATTAACGCTTAAAAACTAAGTGTTAGTATTTTGAAAACATTAAATTATATTATATTAGAATTAAATGAAATCAAATAAAATTAGACTATATTAAATTCTAATTTGTCATGTACCTAAGAGGCACTCCGTGCGGTTGACACCAAGAAAAACCATCCACTGTATGAGTCATCGTTCGCACGAAGTACCTCACAATAGGCGCATGCGGATCATCTGCCACCGTTCTCAAGATGCTGTTGTCACTTCTCCGTATACTTCCCATCAGCTACGCTACTTTTTTCCGAACTACGGCATAAAAACCGTCAGTTCGGGTATGTGCAAACATGCCAGCGGCACTACAGAATCGTGGAAGTGCCAACATCATCCATAAT